AAACAAAAAAACCCCCCCCCCCCCCCCCCCCCCCTAGCCTTCTAGGTACTTGGTTCCTGGGAACTGTTTGGCCACAAAAGAAACTCAAGACCAAAACTTCCCCTGTAGGCTCCAGGATATAGTTCTGAAAACTGTTGGTATCTATGTACAACAGGCCACCTGCAAGTAATAAGACAAAGCCACAGAAACCACAGAATGTTCCCTCTCAGCACTGACCAATGAGAATAATTGGTACACAGGTATTTCATGCCAAAATATGGCTTTGAGAAATTCTCCTGATTGTTCCCAAATGTCAACCAATCAGAAACCAACCTGTAGCTACTGATGTTATCCTGTGACTTTTGTCTTTAAAAACTAGCAGTAGACAGGGAACTTTGCTCCCTCTGGAGGCTGCTCCATCAGCTAGCCAGACTGGGTCTCCTGTCATGGTTGGATGAACAAAACATTGCTTTTGCAGTTTGGTGGGTCTGTCTGTCTTCTTAGTGGTCTCTGGGGATCTTTGGGACTTGGGCACAACAGTCTACAGAGTGAGTTCCAGAACAGCCAAGGCTACACAGAGAAACCCATTCTCAAAAAACTAAAAAACCAAACCAAAACAAAACCAAAACCCTAGGACCGGATTCAGATTGGTAAGAATAGACTTTAGTGAGTAATATATATTGCAAGCTGGATTTAGGGGCTTAGCCCTAAAATCTTTGTACTCAAGAGGCTGAGAAAAGAGATATCCTTGAGTTTGAGGCTATTCTGAGTTATAGTGAGTTCCAAGACAGCTTGGAATACAGAATGAAACCCTATGTCAAAAAATGTCAATTTGAGGAGAAGTTGTTGCCAACCTCCTAGCTTTCTGTTGTGTAGCAACGTCTTCCTAGATTAAAGCCTTCCATCTTGGACAGAAGCTCATTAAGACACAAGGCTGCTAAAGGGGAGGTAAAACAACAGGCAACAGGAAGTTCTACTGGGAGGCAGTATAGCCCTTCCTCCTTAGACTCAGGAAGTAGACAACTTAAAACAGTTTCATGAAGTTCCTGAAACTGACTAGATTCACTATCCTCCTCCTCCTTAAGCATATATAAGCAGTAAGACCTGCTGGGAGACAGAAGAGTTGTACTTCTTGTAAGCAGTAGATGTCAGTTGAGTAATTGGGAAAGAACATTCTCCAACCTGCTGAGCAGTATACTCCAGGCTTCCAGCTTTTGTGAACCATTATCCATGCTGGCTTTGGTGATACAGCTGTCTGAGTGATTTCTGCTCTTTTTTTTTTTCTTTTTCTTTTTTCTTTTTTTTTAAGTAAGTAACTCTAATAAAACTCATCAGTTCACCGAGTAGGATTTGGGTGGTGTCTTTGTTTTGGTTTATCATCAGTTCCCTCTCTGGGATGAGTAGACATTTATTTTTATTCATGTCATATAACACTTCCCACTAACAAGGGGAGAGAGGCCTTAGCTTTAGGTGGTGCTTGGAATAAACAGTGAATTTACTGCCATCTTCTGTTGTTCTCAGCTGATCTTTCTCAGGCAGCACTAGAAGTGGGTGGAGCTCACCTAGGGTTGCTAAGCTCATGTTCCCAACTGTTCTCTTGCTGTTTAAGACTGAGTCCTCCTTGAGAAGGGCCTTCCCAGGACTGTGGGACTTTCACTCATTGTTTGTTCTACTTGAGAGTCATTTTCAGCTGATACACCAAAGATAGACTTGGGATTATTCAGAGATAAGAAAATAAACAGATGTCAACACAGTATACTGTGGGAGCCCACAGTGACTCTTTTTCCATCTTGACTTAAGGTCAGAGAGTTCAAACTTATTCTTGCACCTTAAGGTCAAATAACAGTATGTTTGTCTTCGGGCGTGGTTGCTAGATGTTTTGAGTATTTAGGAGGTGACTATGCTTGTTTGTTTCTTGAATTATGGTAAGGAAGTCTTTTGCGCTCGCTTTTGCTTTGGGTATAACAGAGGTATGAGAAATAAATTCGAGGCACCTATAGTATTCACTAAGAACACTCCCAACTCTATCTTCGGTCTTCTTTTCCCTCAATCATCACTCCCCTTTGCAGGCACTTTCAACAGCTGAACTGGTCCCTATCCTACACTAACAAGAGGATCAGTCTAAACGTCTATCACACAGCAAAATATTCTGTAGCCATTGCAGAGATACCCAAGAATATTTAACAGAACATGTTTGAGACCCTTAGAATAGCTGAGTGTGGTGTTACATGAAGCAGAAGCAGGCAAATCTTTGTGAGGTCTTGGCCAGTCTGATCTGTCTACATGGTGAGTACCCGAGCAGCCATGGCTATATAGCAAAATCCTGTCTCAAAACAAAACCAACAACAACAAAAACAAATAAACAAAACAAGACTAAAAAAGAAACTTGAAGATGTGTGAAATCATTTTTTGTAGGCACATTGTACATAAATCAGATTACACAGAATGTTCCCTGTGAACAACTAATGATTCTATCTAATACTAACAGCATATACCTGTTGGTAGGAGATTAAGCAATATTTTAATTTGTTTGCTTTTTTGTGTGAAGTGTCACCTATATTTTTCAGATATGTGAGATAAAGTCTTTTCTTGAAAGGTAGAAAATATAAATTATGTAAAAAAACAAACGCTGAACAGATAATTTATGCTATTTTCTTAGAAAAATGAATCACACCCAGGGTTTCAGCTGTTAAGTGGTGAGGAGAGCCAGTATTTACTGGTGATTAGAGTAAACTATGGTGTTTACAAGAATAAGCCCATTCTCCACCCAGGGATAGCCCAGAGCTGTAAGAGTGATGACAGCCTCTGGCTGACAATGGGAGAGTCAGAATGCTGGAGTCAGGCCCAAGCTCTGGGAATATGTGCACCAAAACAAGGCTTGGTATAAAAAAATGGAGATACTTGGTTTAAGAAGAAGGGGATGAGTGGGAGGGCTGAAGGAACTACACACAGATTACAGTCTAGATAAAGGTTTGTATATGGCGAATGGTACTACAGGAAAAAAAATGGTTCTCTAAATCAAGAAAGTAGCAGTGAGAATTTCAGTTGTTGCTGTTGTATTTTGAAGCATAGTGCAGAAGAGCACCTAAGAATTAAAATTAAATTAAGAAAAAAAAAAAAAAAACTTGGGCAGTTCCTTAGACTTTATTGTAACTTGGACATAATGTTCTTTTCACCTGATGTTGTTAGGGTTCAGTTGTTTTTAACATTTGTTAAAAATGGGAGGACAGGGGTCCAGAGAGATGGCTCAGCAGTTAAGGGTGACTATTGCTCAGTGCTAGCTTTGAAGGACTGGTGTTCAGTTTCCAACACCCTTATCAGTCAGTTCACAACTGTCTGGAGCTCCAGTTCCAGAGCACCTGACTGTAGGGAGACACTGTAACCATGCATCCTAAGAGCTGGCTACAGGTGTGCCTGACCACGACTGGTGTGGTCAGGGTACTGTGGGGAAGGTTTTAAGAGTGAGGGGCACGAAGCCGACAATGGCCGAGCTTGGTGAAGCAGACGAAGCGGAGTTACAGCGCCTGGTGGCCGCGGAGCAGCAGAAGGGGCAGTTCACTGCGCAGGCGCATCACTTCATGGAACTATGTTGGGATAAGTGTGTGGAGAAGCCAGGATATCGGCTAGACTCCCGCACTGAAAACTCTCTCTCTAGCTGTGTGGACTGCTTCATTGACACCACTCTTGCTATCACCGGTCGGTTTGCCCAGATCGTACAGAAAGGAGGGCAGTAGCCCATACCTCAGGAATGACAGAAGATCCAAAAGACTTGTTACTAGGCAGATTGAATGGCCAGTGGAGAGTTGTCAACAGGTTGAGTTAGCATCAGGCAGTTACCAAGTCTGTTGGTGCTAAAAAGTAACAGATCAAATGTCCAAAAGTGAAATTTATTTATTGGAATTCGGTAATTCCAAGTTGTATCACACCGTTTAATAAATGTGACGTCTATTAAAAAAAAAAAGAGTGAGGGGCACACACATGGGGGCCCTTTCTTCCTTTTCATCATTGGCTTGCTCTAGTTACTCCGTTCCCGGCCGGCTGGCTAGGTTGCTGTGTAAGTAAGGCATCTCCCTAATAAATACCCTAATATTTTTACCTGACTCCGTATTGGTAATTCACTCAATACCTGACACTTCTGATCATTTGTGTGCCCTTACACACAGGTAAAGTTAAATAATTAACTTTTAAAAATCTGGCAGGGAAGATTCTATTCCAGTGACTGCAGTTGAGAAAGAGGTGGCAGTATGGAGCTGACCTTAACTCCAAACAGCAAGGGGCAGCTGAAGGTTTATAGACAGGGGCTAGGTGAGGGCAGGACAAAGATGGAAAAGTACTGAGATGTAGTGGCATCTTGTCTTGCCAGTGAACTTGTAGTAGTGGCCACATCCTTTGGGTTCCAGGTGCAGACATGATCCCTTTAAGGTAGAGGAGCTTCAGGCGTGCTCTCTTGAGTCTTGGAGAGAGTGGGAAAGGTAGAGACTGCATCTTCTGGAGCAGGAAAGCTGCGGCAGTTATATACTCTTATCTGTGTAAGTTCTTCCCTAATAGAACACCTATTTATCATTTATCTTGGGTCTGGTGAACTCATTTACACCCCTGCCTTCACTAAGAAGAGGGTAATAGGGAGGGTCCTCACTAACTGGCGTGGCTTGACAGGATTCTTACTAAAACTGAGCTGGACAAGGCAAGGTTGAGGCCACCATGCCAAGAGAACCCAGGAAGCCTGACTGGTGTAGTCAGTGAGGGAACCCTTGTGGGTGTTGTACTGCTGGAACATCTTCTCATCAGTTCTTCACTCTGGAGAAGTTCATGACCAGAGGATCAGGTGACATGATCCATAGCTATGAAGATTCTAGATTTGGAGGCAAAGATTAGATATAGTATCATGTACCCAAGCTGGCTTAAGCTTGCAGTATATTCTCTTGTCTCAGGGTTACAGGCATTGACAACCATAGCCAGCATTTTAGCATTCCCCTACAAACTAAGACATTAATTACTTATTGTTTTTTTTTTTTTTGTTTGTTTTTGAGACAGTGTTTCTCTGTGTCACCCTGGCAGTCCCAGAGCACTCTTAGACCATACTGGAGTCACACTCTAGTCAGAATGGGAAATGAAACACAAATGCTGAACTCAAAAACAAAAAACAAACAAACAAAAACCCCCAACCCCACCCCTAAAGCAACAACAACCCCCCAACCCAGTTTAAACAAAGCAGAATTGTACACACAACAAATTTACACTGGTGAATCACATTGAGGTAAAGTTAAAATGACATTTACAGAAGCTTTCAACCTCCAAACTGTTAAGTCTCAAACCCTGAGACAAATGGCTGTGGTGCCTTCTTTAACATATCCAAGCTGACTCTGGTTCTTCCTGCATCCCTGAGTCCCTGCCTGTTGCAGGGCCCTCATGACCTGCATACTGGTCCCCTACCCTAAACTTCTCCAACCCACTGGCTGGGCTGTTCTTCCCCCACCAGCCCTTCCCTATGTAATCCAACCATTTTGACTACCTGTCCTCTTTGGGCCTTCTGGCTTCTGCCCCTGGCTCCCCTCTCTTGGTTAGTCTCTTCCTTTTCTTTTAATTCTTTTCTTTTTTCCATCTACTAACATGAATTCCTTTTCTAGGATTTAGACCTCAACTACATCAGCAGAACAAAGTCAGTGACATTGTCACCTGAAGTAACTAGGCTTCAGGGACAGATGTTTCGGTGTTCAAAATTAAACAGTTTTCTGGTGTTAAAAAATCAAAACATCAATGGTGCACGCCTTTAATCCCAGAAAGAGCCAGGTCTTTGAGCTTGAGGCAAAAATTCCTAGAAGCTTGCTTATTCAGGGATTACAGATCCTGCCAGTTTGGTATTCATTTTTAATCCGGAGGATTTTAGGCAGGGTCTGTACATACAATTTAGGTCAGTTTTGAACTGAGGGCTTCTTGATAGCTAAGAATTACCTAGAACCCCTGATCTGCTGCCTTCACCTCCCAGGTGATGTGATTACAGGATTGCCCCAACACATTCAGCTACAAGTATTTTAATTTCATTGTAGGACATCTATAAGATTAGCTACTGGTTTTCCCGTAAATTTGATTTTTTAAAGTAATTTTTTCCTTTACATGTTGTGGTAGCTGGTATTGAATGTGAAGATTGAAAATATCCCAGTAGCTTATTCTCCTTATTAACGTGAATTTACGTCCCACACTTCCATCAACCTAACATTCCATTCTCCAGATATTTGCTCAGGAACCAAGATGTTGCAAATAAGTGCTTTTCTATTTCAAGATTCCCTTGAAATACCCATCAGAGTCTCAGTGGAAAGCTCTGAAAGACTGGTTTGCACGCAACCTTTGGGCGGGGAAGGGTTATAAAAATATTTTGTTCAACATGTCCGGTAACAGGCTTCTATCCAAGAGTCAAATGATTATCTGACCCACATAAACTAACTGGCTCTCTGTCTCTGTCTCTCTGTCTGTCGTCCCCCCACCCCTCCCCCCACCCCCGCCCAGTCCTGACCCCCTGGTGGCTCCCTCCAAATA